GGAGAGGGGGGCAGAGAGAGAGAGAGAGAGAGAGAGAGAGGAAGGGAAAAAAAAGAAACAGGGGGAGGGAGGAGAGGGTAGGGCTTTACAAGTAGTAGGAAAGATCTGACAGACCTTCTTCCTTTCCTATCTTAATATCCATTTTATTTTTCTTTTAAAATTTAAATTTGATTCCATGAATTTCCGTCAGGATTTGAACTTAGGTTCTGTCTATCTACAGCTGAAGGGTCTCATCCGAATTTGTTTTTTTTTGCGGTGGTTGTATGCGCATTCGTGTCTGCCTACGTAATTATGATGATTAAATAATTTTGTAACACATTTTTTTTAATTTTTTATCTATAAAGAAAAGACTATAAAAGATCATTATAAAGCTATAAACTAGTATAAAGCCTATAATAAATATGAATGACTAAAATGTGTCTCTTTGGTGGCAGCTAGATCCTTCAAGCCAGCAGCAAAGCGTATCTGTCTCGGAACTGATGGATTATTCGATGGCGAACTATGGCGGCGGCGGCGGATTTCCGTGCCGGGTCCCATCCAACGGTGGAGATGTAGCGGGAATTAGCGTCACCGAACTTCCCTCAGCAAAGACGCGATTCAAACGGCCACCAGCAACAGACCCTCAGAGCGTTGCAGCTCGGGTAAGCAGAGTACTACTGAGAAAGAGAACTGTCAAAAAAAAAGAAAGAAAGAAAGAAAGAAAAGGAAAGGAAAAAGAAAAAAAGGAGATGCATTGAAGTTGTTCTATTTTGGGGAGTGTCAACACTACGGGATACCGTTCCTTTTCCACCAAAAAAAAAAAAAAAAAGAAGAAGGAAAAACAAAGGAAAAAAAAGGAGGCATTTTGGAAATAAAATAAAACACGGTGATAAAAGGAGGGGCCCACAAAAAAAAAAGTGCTTGAAACTCTCATGAGACAATCTCAAATGCATAAATAATAAATAATGAAATGATTTAAAAATACTAAAATAGACTAGGCTACCAGCCAGGCCGCCCGTGTCGCCCTATTTTCCTGGGCGGCCCGGCCGTGCAAGGACCAGGGAAGGTCCCAGCCAAAAAAAAAAAGAAAAAAAAATCCAAAAAATCCGAAAAAAAAACTATGCTCAGGGTCACATCGAAATTCTTTACCAAATTTACATTAAAATTTTATTTATTTATTTATTGATTAATTGATTTATTTATCTATTTATTTATTTATTTATTCTTTTTGGCCCGCCCGGGCAAGTGGACCCAGGCCCCTCTGGTAACCTAGAATTTCTAGAAAATAGATAAATAAAACAAAGATGCAATCTCACATATTTGACTTTATTTCAGTTTCCGATGTCAGCCAGTTCAAGTTTGTAATTTCGATTCTACCCCTTTCTGCTTTTGAGTCTGCCGTTTCTGCCCTTCCTTTCCGCTTTCTGCGTCCCAACATGGACAATGGACAACATCCATACCAGCCTGTTTGAGTGGCGTGGGCAGCATGAACCTGACTGCAGTCTGGGCCAGGTTCAGAAGGTTGGTGCTTTCTTGGTACTTGCTGGCTTTGTGCGCTTGACTTGTTTTCCATTTCATCTTCATCTTCATCACAAACCTAGCATCAGTGAGATTTCTTGTCTTTTATTTTACTGCCCCCCCCAAAAAAAAGTAGCATCATTGTGCAGCATTGTGACGTTGTAACGATCGATGGATTTGGGTTAAATATTGTCTGGCACTCGCCGTCACGCAAATGTTGTTGTATGTGTGATGTACCTGTTGTGGGTGTATGGACGACCTGACTCTATCGCAGGTGTGTGACATGTGTGTGACATCCGTGTGACATGTGTGTGACAGGTGTGTGACATGTGTGACATGTGTGTGACATGTGTGTGACATGTGTGTGACATGTCTGTGTCATGTGTGTGACATGTGTGTGACATGAGGAGCTGGCTCTATCGCATGAGGTGTGTGACATGTGTGACATCACCATGTCGAACATGAGTAGTGTGTGACATGTCTAAGGTCTGTCACCTGTGTGATGTGTGTGATGTGTGTTACATGTCATATGTGCGACGTGAGGGACATCCCTGTTGTGGGAGTGTTGAGGTGCTGATGTATTTGTGTGATGTGTGTGGCGTGTCCAAAATATGTGACATGCGTAGCATGTGTAATGGCTCGCATGATGAGATGCCTGTTGTGTGTGATGTGTGTGATGTGTGTGATGTGTGTGATGTGTAATGTGTGTGATGTGCGTGATGTGTCTGTGACACCCATGTTGTGGTAGTGTTGAGATGCTGACTTGATGGTGTGGCGTGACATGTGTGATGCTCGGTGGGTGACATCTGACATCTGACATCTGAAGCTTCGGAGGGAACGAATCAGTGAGAGGATTAGAGCGTTGCAGAGGCTAGTTCCAAATGGCAACAAGGTAAGAAGCTAAAAGAGTTTTTTTTTTTTTTTTTTTTTTTTTTTGCCTTTATTTGCTGGGAAACGCGCGCAAGAAAATAGAAGGCTAGTAGAACCTGTTTTCTTTTTCGTTTTTTTTCTTTTTCTTTTAGGCGCGGTGACCGACGTTCGGGATGGGCCGAACGCCCGAACCCAAATGCCCGAACGTACGGGACCTCTTGGGGATGCGTTCGGCCGTTCGGGCTGAACGCGGACCCAAAAAAAAAAAAAACAATAAAAAAAAACAATTCAAACAAATCTGAAAAAAAAGATATGTTATGAAGACAAATAAAATAAACAACATTTGCCTGAGCATTACATACAAATTCCTTAACAAATTTGAAATCAAAATTAAAAACAGAAAATAAAACTAATAAAAAAAATAAGAAAAATGAAAAGAGAATTAAAATTAGTGAGTGAGCGAGAATGTTTTCGACCCCGCCATCTTTGGCGATTTTTCATTCTTTTTTGGCACAGCCAAATGCCCTGAAAATTTACAGATGTCTACTTCACATAATAAAAAACGTACCAAACAAAATTCAAGAAATAATAAAATTGTTTAGGCCCCGCAATAAAGTGAAAACAAAGAGTAAAAAGTGAAAAAAAAAAAAAAAATAGTCACTTTTTGCCATCTTCAGTGATTTTAAATTTTGTTTGGCCTAGCAAAATGACTTCAAAATTTATAGGCATGTACCGCACATCATAGAAAACTCACAAAAAAACATCCAGAAAAAAAAAAAACGTATTTTTGGTGGGGGCCAAACGCCTTCGGGTTCGGACCCCGAACGGGATCCCGAACGCCCGTACATACGGAGGTCGGCCTGGGGACCTCCGTACGTACGGGCTGGTGACCCTGCTTTTAGGAATATTCTTGTGAAAAGAGATGAAACTACATGAAAGGCAGTATTAATACATGATCATACATGTAAAAAAAAAAATAATAATTTATTTTTCTTTGTAAAACAAAAACGTACGCCTAATTTATTGGATACATACGAAATCCATTTTAGAATTCCTAAATTTGAAACTGAACAAAAGAAAAAAAAAAAAAAAAAAAAAACGGCTCATTATTATTAGTCACTATTAACGTCAGCACTGTTTGTACCTGGTCACTAATAGCCGCCGCTCTGTTTTCTTTTTTTTTCCGTTTTGTTTTTTTACGAACTGTTTCCTAAAAATGACTGCAGCTAGCTTTCGTACGGCTGCCGTCTCTCTCTCTCTCTCTCTCTCTCTCTCTCTCTCTCTCTCTCTCTCTCTTCTTTTTTTTTTTCCTTTTTTCATTTTTTTTTCCTTTTTTCTTTTGTGCTGGGGCTGTCGGGAACCCTTGCCCAGGGTTCATGCCCGTCCGGGCACCGGGGCGTGTATCGGGGCACAATTTGGCTGCCCGGGCACCTGGAAAAAATATGTGCAGCCCTAAAACCTACTAAAACCCCCTAAACCTCAAACCCTAAACCTTAAACCCCAAACCCTAAACCGTTAACCCCCTAAACCATGATGCCCTGGTATTTACCATGGTTGGTTAATACCCTGTAGCATGTGAACAGCATGCCAACTATGGCAGCGTGCCATGCAATAGTAATAATGACCATAACAAATAATATTGCACTAATTTTTAAAGAAGAAGACAAGGAAGTAGGAGTAAGGACAGCATGGCCGCTTTAAAAAAAAACAAAAAAAACGCATGGCTGCTAAGTTCTAACTTCTAACCATGAGTTATGTTTATGTGACAGGCAGATACAGCCTCTATGCTTGAAGAAGCCATTGAGTATGTCAAATTTCTTCAGCTGCAAGTTCAGGTAAGAAGTTACTCAGAACTAACATTTTTTCAGTATTTAGTAAAATACTAAATACTAAATAGTAAATACTGTAATTTTTATAATTTACTATTTTAGTATTTTCCTACAAATAATAATAATAAGAAGTTACAATGAGGATAAGAAAAAAGTAGTATTTACAGTACTGCAATGTTTATAATAAGCTATTAAATAATTAGTATGAATAACAACATAAAAATAAAGAGCTTTTGTGTGGCATTCTGTTTCCCACTCTTCCCCACCAATTCGTTTTGTTTTGTTTTTCCTCTTTTATTTTACTGTTTTTGTCACAGTTTTTGACGAATCGATTCCATGACGTCTGTGTGGAACTTCCGCCATCTTTGGCAAAATGTGAAAAAAAAAAAAAGGGGAAAACACGGGATTTGAGATTTGTGACTCGTCTTTGTGTTTTTTTTTTTTTTTGTCACAGTTTTTGACGAATCGATTCCATGACGTCTGTGTGGAACTTCCGCCATCTTTGGCAAAATGTGAAAAAAAAAAAAAGGGGAAAACACGGGATTTGAGATTTGTGACTCGTCTTTGTGTTTTTTTTTTTTTTTTTTCCGTGATCGTTTTTCTAAATTTTCTTTGTTTTCCGCATATTCTCTTATTCTTCTCCTTCC